TAGTAAAAACTTAAACCATCACATTTAAAATAATTTCACTTTGATTTTTTTAATTATTGTTGTAAATATCTAGGGAATCGTTAAAAGAGATGAAATAGTATTCATGGCAGCCAGAAGCCGCAGGATCCCTATCTTGATGGTGACATCTGGAGGCTATCAGAAGAGGACAGCACGGATAATTGCTGATTCCATTCTTAATTTGCACAACCTGCGACTTATTGACAACAAGCTAGCAACCAGAGGAGCAGAAAACCCCAAGGTAGAGCTGATGATTAGAGGTTCCAGTTCAGATTTAACTAACTAGTCACTGCAGTAAGGCAATACTAAGTTTGAGAAAAGAAAACTTACTAATTGTATTGTGTGTTAAACTTAAGGACAAGAAGTCTAAACAACTCCATCAGGGTTAATTTAACATTTGCAAAAGACTGACTTGCCTTGTACTCAGTTCTGTTAATGTTTTATAATAGGTGGTCCCAAAATAATTTTAAATGTCTGACTGACTCCTGAAGTCCTCTTGAGCAGCTGTCATATGAAAAGCCACATATATTTGAGGTTTAATTTAGGTGTGCACTTAAGAACAGTGTCTTTGTCTTTATATCATATGGTGTAGAAAGCTTTAATTACTTCTCTTATTTCTGTGGAGAGTTTACTGTTTTCTTGAAAAGACTTGCATGGGTAAGATTTGAAAACTGTCCAAGGCCTCTCTTTAATGACATTGGTACATGGAAGGAGGCAGAGTCCAGAGCAAGAACGGTCTGGAATGAAGACTTCTCAATCTTTTTAAAGACAATTAAAATGTAGATTCAGCTTTTTTTATGCTGCTCCTCCATTTTCCAGATTTTGATCATGTATTTTGAAATTCAGATCCTGTGGAGAGGACAGAGTAGCAGAAAAGGCAGGAATACTAAGAAACTGTGGGGAGGAGAGGAGTAATAGAAAGGGTGACTCAATTTACCTACTTTTTGGAGTAGATTTTCAACAATATGCAAACAACTCTAGGTGTGCAATCTCTCACATTTTGCTGTGAGATTAGGGAACAATATTTATTCAAACAGTTGTCAGAAATCTTTTCCCACTTCAGTAATCTATAATACTTCTCTGTGTTTATACCAGTACTAGTAATATAATCTTGTCACTGTTGAATATTTTGCTCTTAGTGTTTTTTCTCATCTAATATTAGCATGCAATTCAAAATATTGAAGGATCAAAAAAGTTCATGTTTACATAGATTGGAAATCTTTAAAAATTAATAAGAAATGAATATATAACTCATTAATGACCAAGAATTTATTATCCAGGAGTCAAAATTGCCAAATATAAATTATTGAAATGATAAGCAGTAGAGTTTCACTCTTCACATATATATCATTAGAGTCCTTTGTTTAGTAAATGATCTAGTTATTTGAATTTTTCTAGGTATGGTCACCATTATTAACCATTCCTGTCAATAAGAGATAAAAATAACTGTTTTATTTTTTAAAAAATTTAATGAATGTTTAAGTTTGATACTGGGAGGTAGTTAAAATATTTTATGTCTATTAAACCCTAA